ATCAGACAGGTATGTAAATATTGATCATCGCTATGTAATCTTTACATTCATTGTAACGCTAATGATGCGTGCACCTATTAATCTACTAGATTATTTGACATACTTACATTAATATTTTATATAAAACTAAAATAAAATTGTATATAAAGATGTAGAACAAATAACATAATTAGTGTAATTTGTTATATTTGAGTTAGTCTTTTTTATAATCATAATTATATATACAAAAGCAAATTTATGAAGATTAAAAGTTGAATATGGCAAAAAATATGAAATAATATTATTTACAGGTTTCTATCGTGTAAATTATGACGATTCAAATTGGCAGAAGCTAGCATCGTACTTAAAATTGTCTTCTTATCGTAATATAAGTGCAACCAACCGCGCCCAATTGATCGATGATGCATTAAATCTCGCGCGTGCAGGACACTTGGCATATGAGATTGCGTTGCAGATTACATCGTATTTATCACATGAGACTGATTATATTCCATGGTATACCGCTGTCAGAGCATTCAATTATTTGGACAACGTATTAATAGGTGGAAAGAACTACACAAAATATCACGTAAGTTGAATATAAGAAAAAATATCATGTTATAATTGTGGATGCATATTTTAATAGCAAAAAAAGAGAAACATATACAAGCATTAATGTTTTAACACATCACTTAATTTCAGAAATATGTCGCTGAAAAGATAAAATCTTTTGCACTGACAGTCAACTACAAGAATTGGGAAAATAGTACGCATGTAGATAAACTTGCCAAAGTATTAGCTTTAAACACAGCTTGTAAATACGGATTGGAAGACTGCAATAACTTTGCTAATAAAAAGCTTGCAGATTGGTTGGACAATAAGAAGAAAGAAGATGAGAAGAAGTAAGTCCGAGAGCTTGTTGTAGTTTCATAAATTCATAATTACGATCCATTATATATACTTGCTAAATAACAATAAGATTTCTGCATCGTCTATAAACTTATCATACAGTTTATAGAATATGTTGAGCAATACGATGCAAATACATTATACGTTTTATTCTTAAACATTTGTAAAAATTTTTAAACTTAAAAATTTTTCGTTACGTGTACGTACAAATATAAAAATAATGCAATTCTTGTCAACATTTAGCAATATTACATATCTAATATATAGAAATTATATTAACTGTTGACCGAGTATTTCTAGACTCTTACCAGACTTAAGACGTGGAATTCTTTGTGCCGGATTGCGAAATGCAAGCGCACAAATATGGAATGCCACTCTACAAAAGTACAAAACCACTGAAGATAAAGATGAAAAGGCGGACATTCTGGCCGGTCTTGGTTGCGCTACATCTAAGGAAAATGTCCAGAAATTTCTCGCGTTAACTCTCGAGAAAGATTCCGACATCGATATTTTTGCTGCGTTGAATTCGATATGTGCGGGTAATCACGAATCCTTCGACATCCTCGTAGAATTCATCAACGATAAAATTGAAACAATTCATAATGCGTAAGTTAATTTTTATTCCTTACTTTGATAATACAAAGTATATCATAAACAAATTAATAATATAATAATTTCTTTACAGAGATAAAGAAGATAACTCATTGCTAAGTGCCCTCCTTATTCAACTTTCCGACAGAGTCGTAACAACAAAGCAATATATAGAGGTAATACATCATTAATCTCTTTCTTATTTAATCTATATTTTTAAAGATAATAAATTTTTTATTAAACTAAAGAGAATTAAACCCTCATTGAAAGATATACTCTTTTAAATTTAACTTTTATATTGCACGTATCATATACATGCATAAAAATTGATTATGATTTTAGTAATGTAATTTAATTAATGTCTATCAGAAAATAACATTAGATAATTTATACTCAATTTTACTATTTCAAATTTGAACATTTTTTTAACTACGTAATTGAATGACATATGCGGATCAAATCGCGATAACATATCTTTTGTGTAATTAAATTTTAGTAATTGGAACCTTCAAAACATTTCATTTCTATCTCGTGTTCGATCGCACGCTTATATCTTATCTCAGAGTGGATTGATTGAATGTTTCACAATTTTGTGAAATATTGCGTCTCCAAAATGTATTCAATTATCGTCAACTACCATGTTATAAAAATTCAATAATCTAATAATATTGATCAATTGAATCAATAATTCTAAAAAAAAATTTTTAATATAACTATTTCTGTATTTTAGTTATCGCTACTCATACATGGGCAACTGCAAAACGCAAACAAGTTTGAAGCATTGTCCGCTGCGACGAACAAACTTGTCTGGATCAATACCAACCGGGACAGTGTTGAGAAATGGATAGTAAAAAATTGTGAAACTTGTCACGAAAATAAGCCAGACTCTGCAAATTCCATTACTTTGTCGTTGTTCCTTCCGATTATTTTGTTGTCATTCACACGATTCTATTAAAAAGTCAAATTCATTATTATGTACTATCTTTAATTGATTAATTTCCAACTTAATCATATTTTCTCAATAAAATCGGAGTATAACACTTTTCTGGCTCTTTCAATGATTTATTTGTTGAAAGATTATTACATTTGATTTTTTTAATGAGAAGAAAATGAAATTGGAAGATACTGCAGATGTATTGTATATTATGTATTTTCTTCTCAAATTTCTCGTATTTATTCCAAGTTACAATTTTAATATAAATGCGCGTTTGTAGTTTATAAGATATCAAAAATGCTTTTAGTAATAATGCATTTAGCTGATAAGCTAAATGATATTATAACATTTAACAAATTAAAGACCAAATGCAGATCCATGAAAGACTTAGTACTGTAATTAATATACTGAAAAGTTATTAAGATATAATATAGTTACATAATTGTATGTACATGGTATGATTGTAAATATATTGATTGCTATTTATACCACTTATACAATAATTTATTTAATTTATGACTATTTATAATTGAAATAAAGAAGAAAGATAAAGATGTTAATCTTTTCCGCCAAATTTTAGGCAGTTAAAATGTTTACAGAGATTATGTTTATAAAATTATATAAGGAAATTTTTTGCATTGTGATTGACTGATTGCTTTAAACTTGCCTTTTATAACATTGCCATAAAAAAATGTATTTAATAAAAAATATAATTATTTGTGTTGTTTGAAATTAATTACGTATGATTTAAAAAGAATTAATAAAAAGTATACCTATTCCTTAGTATGGATATAATTATCATTATTACGTAAAAATATTCATAAAAATTTCAAATAAATTGAATATCACTAAAATGATCGTAATAATAAAATAAGCTTTAGTATAAAAGATTTTTTTTATATTAAAAACACAATAACATAAATATTCTTTTATTATAATGCATGACATAACTCATCGTTTCATAATATGAGACATAGGTCAATCATGTAAATTATTCATGCCTTTATGCACATTTGAAATAACAATGGGTATGCGTCGAATATCCGATTGTCATACGAGTAAGTATTCTTACTGAATGTTATAAAAGAAGACTAAAGTCAATTCATTTCACAAGTAAAGGCACTTTACTATCGAGCAGGAAGACATATACTTAGCTGCAGCAACGTTTCGCTTGATTTCGACAATTATATCACGTAAATATATTGAGTAACAAGGTAATATTCATCGTATACATTGATAACAATAAGAAACTGATTACAACAATACAATATGAGAATTATCTCGCTAACATTTCGTAAAGCCATCGATAATTATCTTGAATTCAAATTCAAATATCAATGTATATTCTTGATAAGCACGATATTATATTGTATAGACGTGTTTCTAAACAAGGGATTTTCCATAATATATTTAATATAGTGCATATAATTAAAAAAAGATTCTTATTATGTTAAATAATATTATTAAAATTGTAACATATTGAAAATACCGCACTAGAAATAATTAATTAAATCAATATTGACATCAATAATACTGATCCGTCAACGCCGATTCGGCCAATCATTTCTGAGTACTAGGTAATATAAATAAATAAAATTATTTATTTAAAATTTTTATATACGTTTTTATATATAATAACGATGTAAAGACTTAAATATAATATAATATTGTTTGTTTGTTTTTATATATGTTTGTATTATAAATATTAAGATAGTTTTTGTATTTTTAATTAGAAATTAATTCAAATAGTAGCTACACAGAATTTATATCAATAATATTTAGGAAATAAATGTAATACAAAGGGCTACGAGCCAAAACAATTTAAATTTAATGTAATAAACTAACAGATAATACAAGAACAATTAAGAAACAGACGTTTCAATCACTTTTTTTTCATTATCAATGTTAAAAATGACATTATGTATAATAATATTTATATACAAACTCTTTTTCTTAAAAACCAATTTATTGAAATATAATAATTGGAAGTAATATTCGAGTAATATTCGTACAGATATTTGAAAAAAAGAATTAGCATGGTGAATTTTCTGAAAGTATTATTAAATATTGGCTTAATATTTACCGCTGCAACGGCTCTTTCTGTTGACGGAGATTCAAGGAATGACTTGAGCACAGTCAATTACCGTTTACCAGACAATGTAGTGCCAGTGCACTACAGCATCGGACTTATACCGTATATTGAAAAGGATAATTTTACCTTTGATGGTAAATCGCATATCATCATTGAGATTTGTCGTACATCGCAGAACATAAGTTTACACGCACTGGATTTAATTATAAATGAAACAGCAACATCATTGATTAGCAGCGATACCAATATTTATGCACCGACGACACATAATTATGACAATAAAACAGAAATCTTAACCCTTCATTTCAATGATGAATTATCTCCTGGAATTTATAATCTATATATACAATTCATCGGTATTCTAAATGATGAATTGCATGGCTTCTTCAGAACATCTTATACCAATGAGAAAGGAGAAAAAGTGTAAGTATAGAAATGTTCAATATTAAAATTTTAAAAATGTTTTTAATTATTATATATTATTCTCATTATGATTTATTAAAATTATCCATTCATATTTACTTATTCTTGCGATCATTATTATAATAATGTCAAAGTCTTTAGAACATCTTTATACAATTAAACATCTTCTTTAAATGTATAATTATATTATATATTATTACATTTTACATTTTTTTTTAATTTATAATCAAATATTTTTATACATTTTTAGAACAAAATTTTATCCGAAATATTTTTCTAAACATCTATAATAAAAAAATTAATTTTGATTGTAATCGAATTTTTTTTTTTATTTCTACACATTGCATAAAATTATTATTATTTTATTATTATTATTCCAATAAAATTATATTATTAAATTTCTAAACAAGCATATGTGCTCTTCATTCAAAGGCATCGGAATGATACATATGTCATAACCAGATTGCAAAAAATGAATATTATTATTCAAATATGATTCCTAAACCGCATTTGTACATTTTCCAAATATTTCGCTCGTTTTAGCAGTAGCTGATGTATCGTTATTGAAAACGTGTCATATTGAAATGTGATAGGTGGTTGGCCGCATCGCATTTCGAGGCAAATTGGGCGCGACGAGCTTTCCCGTGTTGGGACGAACCGGCATTAAAGGCCACTTTCAATATCTCCATAAAACATCGACGAAATTACACAGCTGTGTCAAATATGCCAATACGGGATCAATCGGAAGACAAAGACGATATGATATGGACACACTTCGACACGACTCCCATCATGTCTACTTATCTCGTAGCGTTTGTAGTGTCCGATTATGTACGTATTCCTAACACAGATGGAACGCTCAATATATGGTGCAGATCAGGATTGACTCCGCACTCAAAACTTGTACGGGAGATTGCTCAAAAGGCTACAGACATATTAACAGAATATACCAACATCACCAACAAAGTTCCAAAAATGGATCATTTAGCAGTTCCGCAACTGACAGCTGGTGCCATGGAAAATTGGGGACTTATTATTTATAAGTAATACAATATAATTTAAGAGAAATATTAACAAAACTTTTATATTTGTTATCTCTTATATTAACAAAACATTTCTTGTATTTTGCATATTCTCCTTGCATTATAAATAGAAAATTCTTTGTGATTTTACATATTATATAATTTGCATGTTATCAGATTATTGATACATGTATACTTGTGTTTAATGTTATATAATTGTCAAAACTCTGTGAAAAAAATAGCCATGATTTTTCTCCAACTGCAAGTCAATTTTTACTTTCTTTATATTTAAATTATATCTTTTCAAAATAATTTTAAATATTTTTGCCTATTTAACTATGAATTTAAAACGGCATTAGGCGATTGTGAAGAAAATATAAAGATGATGAAGTGTAAAAATATAATAGAGTCATATTCTAAATTAAGAAAAATTAAGAACAAAGACCTGTAATTATAAATTGTAAATTGTCAAAATCATAAAAACTCTTATATCTAATTTAAACAATTATATATAAACATTATGTAGACAAAAACGATATAATAACTGACAATGAATTATAAAATCATTTTTTAGAGAAAAAGACTTTGCGTACAATGAAAAAAAAGATACAATGTTTCATAAACACCGAGTAGCAATGACAGTAGCACATGAAATGGCACATCAATGGTTTGGTAATGTGGTCAGCCCGTTATGGTGGTCTCACGTGTGGCTAAACGAAGGATTTGCAACATTTTTCGAAGAGTATGTTCTCAATGAGGTAAATATTGTTTAAATACTGTTTGTTGTTAAATTAAATTTATTCACATTTGTGCATTTCAAAAAGTCATATGGCAGATAAATTAAATAACAGATAAATTGAAATAATAGATCTCTCCATACGTGACTATTAAATATAAAAATACAAATAATCGGTTATGGCGGTTCGTGAAAATGTCATCAATAATTACATATTTTAGATAATTACTAATGAAATTAAAATAGACTTTAAATTGTTTACTTTTATTGGTAATAATAATATTACCAATTAATATTACATTAATTTTATATTTAATTAATCTTAATTTTGAAATTTCCTAGAGTTCTATATGTTTTCAGATTTTCAAAGATTGGCGTATAATGGACTTCTTCGTTGTCAAGGTTCAACAAGAAGCTCTTGATACTGACGTTGCTAAGAAAATGAAACCTATTGTATTCGAAGTCAAAACTCGTGAAGAAATTGATTCACACTTTTCTTATTCCAGTTACGGCAAAGGTGAGAAGTAAATATAAATAAATCTCTTAGTTCTCTAGCACATACATAATATGAAATAACAGGAAAGAGTAATAATAAAAATAGGAATTATTATTTACTTATATATTAAATTTGTCATAAGAATGTGAAGAAATATGCGTTCTGTCTTAAATTCCATAAATCGATTTTTGCCTAACATATTTGCAAATTTATGGATATCCTTATGTTATTTATTTTAACATATTAATCGTACTTTATGACATTAATTATTACAGCACCTGCTATACTGCGCATGTTACAGCATATTGTTACCGCTAAAGTATTTCAGAAAGGTGTCATTAAATATTTACACAAACAGTAAGTAACATATATAATTTTTGATATTTATA